CAAGCATTAACTACTCATCCTCATAATATATCATCTAAGCTAAGTGGAAAGAAAAGAGAAAGAAAATCTATTCCTATACTTCTAATATACATAGTATACATACATTCTAGTTAACTGATATACTAGCTAATACCCTCTATCCGATGCCCTCCTGGTACTTCGAGAAGCCACCCCTGATTGCCGAGTTCCTTACGACAGCCCGTCATGACCATACAACCTGGGCTAAATACGGAGGAATACCCTCCCCAGGAAATTAACTTAGGATTATATATAGGCGCGGAGGAATACCCGTACTGAGCTGTCACCATCAGCAGCCCACCTCTCATCCGCAATATATAACCCCAAATAATGATATCCCGTAATCTAAACACCACGTCTAAACTACCAGATACTACTCTAATATCATCGTCATGACATAGAGTAATTGCATAAGCAAACACTATACCCGCACCAAAGCATCTCCCAGATAAGCTAGCCGTATATTCAGTATAACAAGAACTTAATGTAAAGTAGGTACTCATATACTTGGAGAGTATTTCAATACCATAAATGTATATAGAAGAGTATTCTAATAAAAATACAAAGCTTACAAAAGAGAAGAGAAAAGCTACTAGAGCCATAGCCGAACTCTTCCAAGGTTTCCGGACTCCTGACTCCTATTCTATTTTTATTCCACCAGCTAGATACTACTAAACTAAACTTGAGAGAAATGAGAGAGCTATTGCTTGAGGTGTGTGTTGAAGTGAAGAGAGTGAAGCCTTTATATAGAGGTGGTTATGACGGTTGTGGAAGGGGAATTGTCCGAAGTACCCTCCAACCGTCATTGGGGTGCAGTCTTGGACGTCTATGCCAAACCCTGGCCTCAACGGTGGAGATGGGTGTTCGGCCAAACCCCCCCCCCCCCGGTTCGGTTCGGCCGAACCATGGGCTGGCCCAAACCAGCCCATCTTTGGCTGGCGACTTTCTCTATTGCTTCACTTTGTAGACTTGTGAATTTTGGCCCAATTCATCGTGTCAATTCTGAGTTCTTGGCCCATTCATACATAAGTCTGGTTCTCGACATCGTCCGATTGATTTATCGTCTACTTTAGTGTCATTCTCTACAAAAGATTAGCATACCTAATACTAATAGTAGTGGAATATTATTATTCTAACAAACATATGCATTGCAAGCATCACTAGTTCTCTCCTATTTTGGTAATATTGACGGTCGAAACTGATCGATAACGACCGTCAACAGTGCTCTAATGAACTCTCTGAAATTTTCCGTGAATTTTCGGAGCTCAATATCTAATTTTAATGTCACAAAGTTCATTTAATCAATTTAAATAAAAAGAAAATAAATTAAAATCCTCTCCTTTCCCTTGGGCCATTTTTGGCCCAAGTCCTCCCTTCCTCGGGCCGGCCCAGCTCGCTCTCCCTCTCTCTCAAAGTCCGGCGCACCTCCCTCTCCCGGCCTCCCCTCTCCCTCCCTCGCCGACAGGTGGGCCCGGCGACCCCACATGTCAGGGCCATCCCTAACCTCCAGCCTCCCCTCCTGCAACCGCCATGGGCGCCGGTTCCACCCCACGACGTCGCGCCTCCCGCGCTCCACCCCGCCCTGCGAGAGCGTGGACTCGATCCCCACCTTGTCCTCCCCCAGTTGCCCCACTTTCCTCGCGAAACCCGGCCACCCTTTCCCCCACGTCGGCGCTCCACTTCCCGCCGGTTGCTGCCCCGATTCCGTCTCTCCCGGGCTCGGTCCCGCCATTCCAAGGCCATATAAACGATCCCCGGAGCATCCTCTCTCTTTTCCCCTCCTCACTCGAGCCTGCCGCGCTCTCTCTCGCCCTCCCCACGCCGCTCCCACGCGCCGCCGCTCGCCGTCGACTTCCAGCCGCGCGCCACCGCCGCTTTCGTCATCGCCGCGCTGCGCCACCGCCACCAAAAGCTGTGCCGCGCCACGCCGCACACCAGCAGCCGCTCCACTCCTCCAATCCACCCCCGAAACACAATCTCTACCGCGAATCCTCTTGTGCTGCCACCATTCCACACTCCAGTCGGCCACCACTACCGCCCTTGTGGTCGCTGCGCTGCGCCGCTGTCGCCGTCAACATCGCCATGCCGAGCTCCACCCCGGCAGCCGCTCCTATTCCTTCGACCACCACCAAAAAACCACCCCCACTGCCAACCTGAGGCCGCCGCATTTGCCGCCTCCGGCCGCCTCCTCCTACCATCCCAGACCACCTCGCGATGCGTCGTTGCCTCCTTCGGCACTGCAAGGACGAGGAGTCCCTTGACTGCTGGAACGCCATCTGCCCCGCGTGAGGTGAGCTCCGTCGCCGTGCTTGTTCCCTCCGGCTGCCCTTCCTCGTGGTTCCCGGCCACCCCGCGCTCGCCTAACCCATCCATCACCTTCCTCAGGTCATGGCGCCCCATGGCCGCCCCTCTGTTGGTGCCGCCCGTCGCCGGAGCGCCGCCGCCCCCTCTCCGTCCGAGCTCCGTCGGCCGCCTTCCGTCGTCGTTCCGTCGCCGGCGCCCCTCGGTGAGGACCCCCTCTGTCTCCTCTCCCTTTCCCCTCTTTCCGACGCCGCGTCGCGCCGCCGCCGCCGGTGGCCGTCCGGCCGTGTGCCGCCGACGCCTGGCGAGCCAGCTCCCTCCGTTGCCAATTTTGGGCGCTGCCCATGGACCGCCCGCGCTCCTAGTCCACGGCGCCGCCTAGGCCGCGGTGGACTTGGTCCACCGTGTGCCCTCCCCTTAGAGCCGCTGACGTGCAGGGCTCGCTTGTCAGCACCGGCTTCCCTTGCTGACATCAGCGGCAGCGCTTTCCTTTGTGAAAATATTTAATAAATGCGTCATAAACCGATAATAATTATAGAAATTCAATTAAATGGCCCAAAACTTCTAAAATTCATATCTAATTCATTCGAACTCCGAATTGGGCCATTCAAATTGCAAAATTCATCTAAAAATGAGATCTACCTATTTGTTTACTTTTTATGTATTATTTCATTGGTTTTTATTAGTGTTTTTCCTCATTTTGCGTGCCAGCGTGTAGTTTCCGTTGTTTCGGAAGTCCGCGGTTGCAAGGATAAGAGTTCAGAAGATCCAAGTGAAGAAGCAAGGCAAGTCACACATTCCCCTTGAGCATGTTGATCCCAATTTACAAATGTTTTACCGTTTGCAAATAAATATGTATGTTTTGCTAATTACATGGGATCAGAGTTGACCTATCTGCTCGCTTGTGCCATGTTTACTTGATATATGTCCTTTGTCAACCTTGGGTGATAAATCGACTAGCTTGTGTTACTTATGTTGACCTAGCTAGAACTATATGCTTAGCCATGCTTAATTACCACTAGCTCAGTTGATGGGATAATTGCAGTACTAGACCTCTTAGTATCAGAACGAGCTGCGTGCTTGAGACATCTGGCCATGTTTCATGGTCGTAATTACCCATCTAAAATGCGACTGAATGGTGGGCTGTGGGTGCATGGTTTTGTGAGTCGCACCCATGGCAATTAAGGACCGGTTCATGGGGAACCCTGGAAGACTTACAGTGCTTACCACAAGCGGGAGTGGGTAACTGCTTGATCTAAAGTATAGCTCGACCCTTTCCTAGGCACCGGTGGCGAGGGTGGGCATGATGGAGTTGGGTCGGCCCGGGTGTCCGGTTGTCCAGCTGCCAGATTTACCGCGGCGCACGAGGGGACTGCCCACCTCCGGGGTAGGGGGTGAGGGTGAAACCTTAGCGTGGTGTGGATGGTTAGGGGAAGGTTATGCAGAGGGTCTTGTCACAATCACTCGACATGGTGACGTGTCTGCGTATGCGCGGTGACATGCCGGTGGATTGTGTCTTGTGGGTACAGTTGTATACCTCTGGCCAAAGTAAAACTATTCGAATAGCTGTGCCCGCGGTTATGGGCGATCGACCAGATTCACCGTTATTAGTCTCACACTTAATAAATCGACCCAATGCACTGTAGTTCAGGTGGGTTGGTTGGGCCTGTTCAACGTGGTGTAGCGTTGATCAGTGGAGATTTAATGTTACCTTCATTAACCAATTGTTTTATGTTTTGCTCAAAAAAATATTTTACAACCGACTTTATGCAAATAGCCGCAAACCTCCCTTGTCTCCCATTGCACGTCTGCATCATTGGTGTGGCTTGCTGAGTACGGTGGTTGTACTCAGCCTTGCTATTATTCCTCCCTTTTCAGAAGTGTGGTGCTTCTGAGCTGAAGACGAAGTTAGAAGACCAAGGCTCATACCCCAGTTAAGTTTTGCCTGTGGAGTGGAGCTGAAGCCCCGCTAGGATCGCTTTTTTCCGCTGCTGTCGTTCTCTTTCGGTGTGATGATTAAGTGCCTCTTCTGTAAGTATTTTACGCTTTATTTACGTTTGTCGTTTTGTGTACCCTGGCTGGTCCTGGACAGAGATTTAATACACAAAATAGTCTTGAAATTTGGGCTAAATTTCTCGGCGTGACAGACATAACGACCTATGTTGGGACCAACATGTAATGAGTATATAACAATAGATAGAGTGTTTGCAAGGTCAAAAAAAAATAGATACAATGTTTATAGTGCAATTTGTCTCATAAACAATATTTCTTCTTTGGATCTAGTTGCAGTAAGACTGTACTGTTCATATATTACTCGAGTTGGACTGGAACTCTGGTAGTCGCATCCCTAGACAGCATTCCTGGCAGGTTTTACTTGGAAAAAAAAGTAATAAAATCGAACTGTTTTTAGTTTTTTGTCTATACTTTTCTAGAAACTCGAATAAACAAACTTGTTTGGTAACCTGACCCGAACGAACGAATCTAGTCAACTACTATAGCTACCAACGTCTCATCTCAATTAGTCAGCTAGTCACCTACCCAAACGTACTTAATTAAACAAACAACATTGTCAGCCTGTCCGACGCAGTAGCTGCGAACTGCGATTACCTTCCCGGCCCTGCCATCACCTACTATACATGCACCCGCTTATATATAGAGAGATCAGCTGCAACCTAAGCCGCCCGGGCTCAGCATCCTAATTAAACTGCCAAGCTACCTGCCAACTTGCCAAATGCCAAGAGCAGCAAGGAGCAGAAGGCAGGCTGCTCTCGAGCAAGGACCAAAATTCCAAGGTCAGTTGCCTTCTTTCAGTTCAACCCTCGGTTGGCTGAACAGATCATCCTACAGACTACAGTTTTTGTTAAGTGATTTTTTGTTTTGTTTTATGTTATTAATACCTCCGTTTCATATTATAAGTGATTTTAACTTTTTCTCAATTAAAATTCTTTAGGTTTGACCAAATTCATAGAAAAACATTTGAATATTTTTAACAGAAAACAAAAAAGTTATCAAAATATATTCAGTGTTAGATGTATTTAATGAAACTAATTTGGTTGTACATGTGTTACTATATTTTTCTATAAACTTAGTCAAACTTTAAAAAGTTTAACTTTAAAAAAAGTCAAGATTACTTTATAATATAATTGTAAAAATACTAGATGAACATCGAATGGAACGCAGCAATATCCATACATTCATCGGTGCTTTTCTTCTTCGAAATTTTTCTGTCAAAAACGTCACATCGAATGTTTGGACACACGTATGGAGCATTAAATGTGGATGGAAAAAATCCATTTGCACAGTTTGAATGAAAATTGCGAGACGAATCTTTTGAGCCTAATTACGCCATAATTTGACAATGTGATGCTGCGGTAAACATTTGCTAATGACGGATTAATTAGGCTTAATAAATTCATCTCGCAGTTTACAGGAGGAATCTGTAATTTGTTTTGTTATTAGTCTATGTTTAATACTTCAAATGTGTGTCCGTATATTCGATGTGATACGCCAAAACTTTACACCTTGGATCGAAGCACAACCTTAGTGAGAGACATGAGATATATATAGCTGTGTCGTTCACTGTTTCAGTAACAGTTTAAGTTACACATACAATTACCAATATATTAATGTGTTTGTAATAACATCTGAAACATTTGTTGATTTTTTTAAAAAAAATTATAATTTTGTGATAAATTTGGTACTGGAATTATATTTTTGTGATAGATGTATCAGATCAAAGTGCATGTTGTTCTGGGAAGAAATTTTACCTCATGTCGATCAAAAGTTCTGTGATAGTTGGATCAAAAGTTCTGTGATATAAATTTGGTACTGAAATTTACCTCATGTCGATCAAAAGTTCTGTGATAGTTGGATCAGATCAAAGTACATGTTGTTCTCGTAAGAAATTTTACTATTAAACCTTTGTTTGCTGTCTTCAAATGATTAAGTCTGGTTAAACCAACCTGTACTTAGTTGACCCCCTTTCTCTTTAATAATTCATGCTGTTACACGTACGCTTAAAAAAATGTAACCCCTTACTTGTTTCAAATTAATTTATGTCCAACATGTAACATGCTACAATATACTCTTATGCCAAATATAATACCCATCAAGTCGGCACCCGGGGTTAGAATTCCCGAATATCTGGAGCGTACACTGTACTAGTCCCATGATCAGTGACTAGTACACGCATCCACAACATGGCACATACAATGCACATGGCACATAAGTAGATAAAGTGACTCTTATAACTTAGCGGTGTAAGAGTCATACAAAATGGTTGTGTCAACTGGGCAAACGAAAGAGTTTAAAACGCAACAGAAAAGATACATAAGTTCTTCGGTATGCCCATCTACCAAAATCACACAGGCATCTGACTAGGAATCACCTTAGAAAGAATCATCTTAGAAATTCCGATAACCGGCGCAAGCACTCGCTACCTGCAAACATGACTAAAAACAACAAGAGGCGGTCAATACACGAGGTATTGGCAAGTCCTACCCAAACCTTGGGAAACCTAGGACTGTACATTGCAAGCCGAGATCAAATATGGCTATATTTGTGGCTCATTTTCAGCATAAAAGCAAATGTTGTTTCGCAATAGCAAATAATAATAGATTGCAACAGAGTTTTTAAATCAAAGAGTAAACCATAATAAACATAGCATAAATATCATCATAGTATCATCCCTGTGCCTTCCATGGCAACAAATAAACATTCTATTCACAGCCCACGCTGGGCAAAATCATCATCATTATCCACCATACCCATTTCACAAATCATTTAGTAAATCATCAACACTATACTTGTATCATTTCACCAAGTTGCTCATGACCGTGAGCACGGCTAATCGATTAGTTTTAGACTCTGCAGAGTTTGTAAAACTTTACCCATATGATATGAACACTCTAGTTTGTATCGTACTCGTGAAGCACTACCACACTCTACATATGGAATGCGGTCTAGAGGTTATAATGAAGCCGTGGCATTACCTAATGCCTAGCTAACCTTGCATGAGCATGGAGAGTGCACAACCTGTCGATCCCTAGTGTGCTGAAGGCGGCTGGCCAGCCACCCTTAACACCGTGGGTGGAACAATTCATCGTCCCCAACGAGGCACTACTCCACTAAATTGGATATGCTCATACGCCCATGCCATGAGATGATCAATCCGTCACTCAAGGTCACATGGGTAGCTTCTGGTCAGTTGCTCAGGCATTGCCTCGATGGACAACCCTTCCCCTACTGTCCCTGGCCTCCCAAATGCAAGGCTAGACATTAAGCAGCTTAATAAGCTAAGGTTGCCCCATAAACAACAAATGTGGTTGCATGGTAATCCTAGTTGGTGACACATAGTTTGGTCCTAAATCGATCTGGGCGAACACTCCCTATATCGGTGCGCAACTACCACCATATGCACATCACTTGCCGCCCAAGCCTAAAAACCATCATTTTTAGTTTTCAATTTTCACAAATAATAGAGACAACCACTTTGTACAACATTTTCAAATATCCCATTTGTAAAGAGTGAATATCGTGTGATCAACCATCGAAGTTTCTAGGCATGGCTAAGCAATAGCTATATTAGTAGCTCGAATATACCCACATCTATGCTTGGATAGCACCACAACCCATCCTAGTCTATCAACGATAGGGTGATCAATAATCAATGTGGATAATGCAGCAAATAGGAGTTGTTCTACCAAAATCCCACATTTTATAATCCATCACATGCAAGTTGTATATAGTAAAGCATTTGCAAAAAATATAGGATTCAGCATGATTAAAGGAGGAATTGAATAGGACTTGTCTTGCTCAGGAGTTACTCAAATATCTCTTGGTTCTGCACTCTCATCAATGGCAGCAATCCATTCGTCCTCCATTTTAATTTAAACATATACATTTGAATGAACATCCAATAAAACTCCAACATAAAATATGATGCATGATGCATAAACATGTTCAATGTATGGAGAGTGTTTTAATATAAATTTAGGAAAAAGAAACGGCTAAATTCAATATCGTACGTGCAAATTATCACGTTTCTAAGATTTAAAGTACGATAAATGCGAAAGTTACTATTAAATTTAAATTAGTGAAACATTTCATAACAGTGGTGCTAAGTTGAAATGAATCTGACAAATTTGGCTCCCCTCAATAAGAGTTAAAATGAATTGGCTCCCCTCAATCGGAGTTAAAACGAATTTTCTAGGATTTTCTAAACTTGGACCAATGGCATATAGGAGAAGAGCCAATTTTCAGTGACATATAAGGGATCAGACCAATTTTCAGTGGCATATAAGGGATTCTCTCGTCTGGTGTAGGCGTCCAATTTGGAAACAGTGGGTCCACTATCGGTTTCTCGGCGATTTATATCTCGATCCCTAACTTTTCCTCTATTTATATATAAGTCCAAGGTCCCACATGTAAGTGTGACAGTTTTTTGTATTTAGAGCCGTATAGTTTAAGTTATTTACGAAAAGGTCTCGTCTTCTTCCCCGTGAGGGAACAACGGGGAGCGTGGGGGCAGAACGGGACGGGGTCACTGGTGGAGAGCGACTGCAGGGCTGGCTAGGCCAGAGACAGGGGCGGATAGAGGAGGTCCTCGTGCATACCCTGTATGCGGCGGGGCGGCTGGGGAAGGCTAGAGGTGGCGAGCGCCATGGCTGGCGGTGGCAGTGGTTCACGACGGCGGTGCGACGGCGCTACGGCTAACGGCAGCTTGATTTAAGGGGTAGGGGAGCACCTATGGACTATGAGGAGGCGGAGGCGGTCTGAAGTGGTGTGGCGACTTCTCGGGGCGGTGGACGACAGCAATGGCGGCGGGGCTCTCAGGTGAAGGGGCCCTGAATTAAGTTGAGGGAATGGGTTCAGTAGGCTCCTAGGGTATGCTGGCGCACAGAGAAATGGAGGGGGCTCACCGTGGGGGCTGCTTGATGTGCGCGGGGTGGCGGTGCCATCTCCTGACAGGCCTAGACAGTGGTATTGGCGCGTCCGTTCCCGGAGAACCAGAGGGTTTCGGAGATTGAGTGTTGTGTGGGGAGTTAGCTGGCGCGAGGGCTCGATTTATAGGCGATGGAGGAGCGAGGGGCGGACGTGTCGAACACTTGTCGCGACTCTTTCGGTAGGAGCACGACGACAGTGGGAATCACAGCGGTAGGGATACGGCTTTGCAGGCCTGTTCTCAGTGGGGGGGCATGGTATCAACAGGGAAGCGGGAGGGCTGGCACGGAAGGTATAGGTGGCACGCTTGGTCGGGCGTCCGCTCGTAGTGTTGCATCGTGCCAGTCATCTCGCGCGGGCGTCAAGGACGGCGGCATTCCGGACGTCGGGCAGGTCAGCTTTGCAGGTTCGGCGTTGGCTTTGCATACGCTAGTCACTAGCTTTGCAGAGGGAGGCAGCTGCAGTCGGTCTCGTTGCTTTGGGCATAGGGGCGGCGTCGGTTGGTGGAGGAGCGCGGCGAGGTCAGCGGCGGTCGCGGCAGGGCCTCGGGCGGCGCGGCGTCAGTATTTCAGGCCTGGTCGGGGTTGTCATGCCGTTGCGTCGCCGCGGGCAGAGAGAGGGAGAGACCGGCGGCATTGGATCAGTGTCGATGGGCGGCGGCTTCGGGTCGGTCACGGCGGGCTGCGAGCTCAGCGCCTAGGAGCACAGAGCATTGGGCAGGGAGGCACCAGACTTGGCTTAGCTTTGCCAGCGGGAATCGCAGGCAGAGGTGGTTTGGAGCTTGTCTGGGAAGCTTAAGATTCTGAGAAGCGGCTAGTTGGTAGCCAGCTTCTGAGAATCTGGAAAAACTGGGTTTCCCACCTTCTTGCTTCTAATTTATTTTCTGGATTCTACAACTATAGCTTCTTAGAATCGGGACCAAAAGCTAGACTGTTTGGGGGAGCTTCTGATTCTGGTAGAAGATGCAGCAGCTAGAAGCTCCCCCAAGCAGGACTCGGCTTGGAGAGGGCAACCTCGGTCTCGCACGCTAGGTGCTCAATGAAAAGTCCAAAAGGGAGGGAGAGGGGAAGATGAGAGTTAAAACTGATAGTTTGGACAATTTTTCGGGTGTTCTATAGTGCTCAAAAACTTGTGCTATAGCCATGAACTCCTTTTGATGAATTTTTGAGATTTTTCTCATGTATAGTTTATTTTTGAAAATTCAAACAAGCTCTCTGTTTTTATTTCAATTTGAACTAATTTTGAATGTTTTCATCTTTTTGATTGAGTTGCATAACTGAGGTATAAATTTACCAAACGTTTCCAGAACATTATTCAAGGTGCCTAATGTTTATAAAAAATGATTTATTTTTATCCCTCTTAGATTTAACACTTCACTTTTCTTTTTGTACTTAATGCATGCAAATGCATTATGAGATGCATGGAAAGTCCAAGAACACCAAAAATAAATTCATAAGACAAAATCAAAATTAAATTTTTGCTAAGTCATTTGTTTCTTTTCTTTTCCTTCCAATATTTTAAGTATGTTACAGACCTACCCTCCTTAAAATGAATCTAGTCCCCAAGATTCGGATAAGAAGGAGGAATAGGGTGTACTAAATTTATCCCCAAGATTCGGATAAGAAACTAACTTTGGCTCATTATTCAGTAGGCAGTATCTATAGGTGGCATCCAGAGGAGAGGGAGCAATGAATGTATGTTTCGATTTGATCTCACAATGCATTATGACTATATATAGGTGTTGTGTATGAAAGATTTTGGATAAAATAAATAATTCAAAACATGGGTCATATGCTGTAACAACCCTCCCTCCAAAACCGCGTAGCCAACCCATCCGACGGGCGAGCCCACTTACACATACCACTCTGCTCATACTTTCGTCCTCATTTCATGTAAAATGGTTAACCCAAGAGTGATATGGTTGAAGGGATGAGGCTTTATAAGTTGATTCCACCCTTGCTAGACTAGCAAGGTGATACTAAACATGCACACAGCTCACATGGGCCACACAGGCCTCATCCTAATTAGGCCAGGATGTCACATATGCCTAGGGTTCTAACTTCTAAGTCTAACCATAAGATGATGGGGTGACGATGGAATAGGTGATCAGTACAACTTTACTGTTGACTTTTTATAAGTGTAAGAAGCATAAAGAGTATAATATCGAGAACATGGCATGTTCAATATGTCTAAAATAATTAAGGATACGAACAAATATTATAGTTGTGAACAGTAAATTTCTGCGTATTTCCAAATAATCATCTGTACTTTGATTAATCATATGCTGGTATCATATCTGTTCAAATCGTATTCCGACTTTTACAACTCAACTATAGAGCATGAAAGAGGATTAAAGTAAAATCAGGTGCTAAATGTAAATGGACCTGCTCAAGGGAAGATCTATGCTAATTATGTTAATCTCGGAAGCCAAAGTTATACCAAACTTTTCATTCTCACATCATAAAAAAAATGCATTTAGTGTCATGGATTGAAATTATCTGGAGAGAAAAAAAACACTAAGTTGCACATACAAGTAATTAATGTTTTCATATGCTTTTCTTTTCACTAGGGTTCGTTGGGATATAATCGAGGTGAAGCTATAGGGTGGAGATTATAGCAAATTGGTATTGCAAAAGCTTCTGGTAGTGCATCAACGCCTTATGATACAGCGCAGAAGTGAATCATCATCATACATGGAGTTCCCCACAGGGGCAATGGCCGCAGTCATCCCTAAGCTGAGCAAGCTGCTCATGGAAGAGTATGGACTACAAAATAGTGTGAAGGAGGGGATCACATTTCTCAATTCTGAGCTTGAGAGCATGCAAGCTGAGGTTGACAAGATCTCAAAGGTGCCACTAGATCAACTTGACAGTCAAATCAAGATTTGGGCTAGAGATGTTCGGGAGCTATCTTATGACATCGAGGACAATGTTGATACATTCATGCTATGTGTCGATGATCTTGAGGCACGCAAGAAGCATGACTTCACATGGTTAATTGACAAGTATTGTAAGTCATTGTCTGAGCTAAAGATCCACCACAAAATAGCCAATGATATCAAACATGACATTATCCCAGTAAAGGAAGTTGTGGAACGACATGATAGGTATAATGCTGATGATGTTGATTCTAAGCTTCCAACAATTATAGACCCTCGCATCTTGAAACTTTATGACAATGTCACCAAGCCTGTTGGTGTTGACAAGGCAAGTGGTGATCTAATTAAGAAGTTGTCCATGGAGACCGATCAGTCATCCCAGAAGCTCAAGATGATATCAGTTGTTGGATTTGGAGGATTGGGCAAGACAACTCTTGCCAAAGAAGTTTTTGGCATGCTTAGAGTGCAATTTAGCTATGCTTGTTTTGTTTCAGTGGGTCGGAAACCTGATATAAAGAAAGTTTTGAAGAGCATCCTGATTGAAGTTAATAAGCAGAAGCACATGTCCGATCTAGCAAAACTAAGCGAAAGACATCTGATTGATGAGATCCGAGAATATCTCGAAAACAGGAGGTATGTATGTCAATGCATGTTTTTAATTATTTGCATATGCTGACGAGTGTTCTGTTTGCTACTAAAAAATGTTTCATTAATTGGCTGCTGGTTGCTAATGTTGTATATATTTTAAGTAATATATATTGGTGAGGATCTTTATCTATATTGATCTACATTTAGTAATTGGAAGCTTTCCCATTTTAGAAACCCTCAGGTCAATTAAAAAAGGGTGAAAAATGCAAAAGATCTATTTGGGCAGATCAGTAGATGTATTGTACAGCTCTAATTTATCCTCTCGCCAAGTACTAAGTAGATTATAGAACTGGCCAGGGGCAGGTAGGATTTTGAACTTGTATATATATTTGAAGTAGGAAGGGTATTTTTTTCCTATAGCTAAAAACCTAATAGTTGGCTTGTACAATATCACACACTAATAATTGTATAATATATAGCATATATAACACAAAATTGAGCATAAGTTCATATATTTTTAGGGGGGATACTACCAGGCATTTGCCTAGTAGAGTAATTTTGTAGATAAAAAAATGATTTGGACAAAACGAGAACAAAATAGGGAACCAAAAAAACAAGAATTACAAGAGTTGTAACCAATCAACAACTAATTGGTCATATATTGATAAACTTAATCATCAATTGAAATTGTTTGCTATATATTCTTGCATTTACAAATATAGTATAGACAATTTTACTAATTCATGCCTCGTCGATTCCCTCCTGATAGGTATTTGGTTGTTTTGGATGACATATGGGAGATATCCACATGGGATATTATTAAATGTGCTATCGTAGATAGTAATTGCGGAAGTAGAGTAATTGCAACTACTCGTATTTCCCAAGTTGCTGAAGAAGTTGGTGATATTTATAACATGGAGCCACTTTCTGATGATAATTCCAAAAGATTATTCAATAGAAGAATATTTGGTGCTGACTGCATAGGTACAACTAATAATCAATCAATTGAGGCAATGGAAAAGGTATTAAAGAAATGTGGTGGTGTTCCATTGTCTATTATTACAATAGCTAGTTTGTTGGTTGATAAACCTCTAGAGGATTGGTCTAACGTGTTTGACTCAATTGGTTTTCGGCTAGAAGATAATGATGGTTTTCAGAACACGAGGAAGATACTATCTTTTAGCTTCTATGATATGCCTTCATACCTAAAGAATTGTTTGTTGCACCTAAGAATTTTCCCCGAAGATTGTTTGATTGAGAAAGAGTCTTTGATATGGAAATGGATAGCCGAAGGCTTCGTACATGTGGAACAAGGAAAAGGGTTATTTGAGGTCGGTGAAAGATACTTCACTGAGCTTATTAACAAAAGCATGATCCAACCAATGGATTTCAACAATTATGAGGGCACCTTGGATGGTTGCCGCATCCACGACATGGTTTTGGACCTCATCCGCATCATTTCAACTGAAGAAAACTCTACAACAGTTTTGGATAGAATGCATGAAGAGCACAACACATCTCTAGTGAGCAGAAATGTCCGTAGGTTAGCACTGCATATTAGTTGGAATCAAGATATAGACAATAACCTTCCTGTGGACATGGCACGTCTCAGGTCATTCAATGCCTTTGAGTGTCCTACAAGCATGATGCCTCCACTTCTGGACTTCCATGCTCTACGTGTGCTAGCACTGGAAGATTGTGATATCACCGGAGGTTACTTTCTCAAGCATCTTGGGAACCTACGACAGTTGAGGTATCTAGGAATGAGAAACACTGGTAAAGTTGAGCTCCCACAGGAAATTGGGAATCTTAGGCACTTGCAAACATTGGATGTCAGGGACAGTTTTCTTGATGCACTTCCCGTAACTGTTTATGAACTAAGCAAGCTGCTATGCTTATGCATGGACTCATTCACTGAAGTTCCTGCTGGGCTCGGGAATCTGAAGTCCCTACAAGAGCTTCGGGTCTATGTATCGGATGACAGCTGCCCAAACTTTGCTGCGGAGCTGCTCAAACTAACTGATCTGAAAATTCTCCACATTAATTGGTATTGGGAAGTAGACGAGGTCTCGCTGAAGGATTTGGTGGAGTCTCTCCGCAGCCTGCGTGGAATCGAGGACCTAGATTTTTTTTCCTGTTCAGATGCTGAGATGAGTGGCTGGGAAGGTTGGGAGCCTCCCCGGCAGCTGCGCAGGTTCTCTATAGACAGTGTCCGTGTCACCCTGCCACGGTTGCCGTCGTGGGTGAACTCCACTTGCGTCCCACATCTCTCCCACCTGGACCTTCGAGTGAAGGCCATGGAGATGCAGGACCTTGAAGCCCTCGCGAGAATATCAGAGCTCCGCTTCCTCTCTGTGAATGTCGAAGCAGGATTTTCATGGACCGTCCCCGGCGGCGGATTATTCCCAAACCTGAGGCGTTGCCACACGGACATTGCGCTCACATTTTTGCATGGGGCGATGCCGATGCTCATGGAGATTGAATTGTGTGTGGTGGCATCCGGGGGTGGTGCCACCAGCTATGACGTTGGCTTGGGGAACCTCTTACTCCTGAAGACCGTGGAAGTTTGGATAGCTTGTGAGGGTGCGACGGCCAGTCAGGTAGAGGAAGCAGAGGCGGTGCTGAGGCATGCTGTTGATGTGCACCCCAACCGTCCCACCTTTGATTTGCACCAGTTTAACCGATATGTATGATTTTATTTAATTCCCTAATATACATCTTCTTATATGTCCTTATTATTTTTTCTTAAAAAAGTACGAGCAACGTACTGATCATATCTACCTCTCAACTTCAATTTCAGTGGCTGATAAAGGAAGACAAAGAAGATGGTGATGATGAGGATATTTCAGCAACCGACCAAGAGGTGCGTACATCACTTGCACGCTGCGAGCATATATACACGACAGTACATGCAAATCTGGATTCAGAATTAACTTCTTTCGCCTTTTCCAGCATGACAGTTGTGTGATGAAGGAGGCAAAGAGGACACGGCTTTCAGATTAATTGGCGAAAATAAACACACCCTTGCACCGGCGAGAGGAGGAGCTCCTGCTCGGCAGCAGGGCGGAGGAGCTCCCTTCTCCGGTGAGCCATTTTCTGGGCCAGCGTCAAGGATGGGGGCGCCGAGCCAGCTGGCGAGGTGACAGGCAGGCGGCGGGGCGAAGGAGGCAGTGGCGGGGTAGAGGTCCCGGCGGCCTAGTTATTAGGACCGGACCGGACCGACGGTCCGACCGGAAAAAACCGAAACCGGAGCCCCCACCGGTTTGGTTTGATTAAAAGACCGTATGTGAACCGGCAGTTTTTCCTTGGTAAACCGCTAAAGAACCGGCACTCACGTGGGCGCGTGGCAACCCTCCCAACTAGCAGGCTTTAGAGAACCGAGCGTTGCTCGGTTGGCTAGCATCGCTGGTGAGCGAGCAGCCCGCGCGGGTTCGATCCCTGGGATCATCACCCGCTCGTCTCACCGGGATTTATTCCCAAATAAATTTCCAGCTCTCCCGTGCCAGCGCCACAATGGTAGAGTGACGTCCTCGTCACACACAAGGTCCTTAGGTTCCTTAGGTGGTTTTGTGTATCTCATTAGCACGTGTGTGTATAGTTGATAGGTCTAGCATGCGTTTAGGGGTGTGTGTGTGGAGTGTGTGTGCGTGGTGGAGTGCGTTTGCACGTATGTTCAGATACTACAGCTTGTACTCAAAGTGGAGAGCTCTCAAAAAAAAAAAACTAGCAGGTTTTAATTAAATGAAATAAAAAGGCTCCGGCATGGTTCGAACCCATGGCCTGTGCTTTGGAGGGAAGGTTCCTTGCCACTAAGCTACGACCTGTGTTGTGCTATTGCTTTAGACACTACGATATATAAACCGGATTGAGCCGATGAACCAAGCACTTGACCAGTTCAATGTCCGGTGCGGTCCTAATAACTATGGCCGGCGGTGAGGCGGGGCTCCTGCGCATGGGCCGCCGGATCTATCTCTCTCGTCGGATCCGGCGCCCCCTCCCTCCCTCCCACTGGATCTGGCCTCTCGGCAAGGAAGGCCGGCTCCCGACGATGATCTGGCTACAGAAGAGGAGGCGGTGGCAGTGGGGCGTGTAGCCGTGGTGGTGACCGGCGATGGTCGCGTACTGGGCTCGGGTGCTAAAGGGATGGTGTGATGGTCCGGCAATGTTCGTTGTGCAAGATGGTTGTGTGGAGCTTTGACTGGAATCGCTGGCGAAGGCCTTGTCAGGCCATGGGCCAGCATGAGGATGACAACGCCATTAGGCATCGTTTCCCTTCTTGAAGGCGTCGTTCTGGCGTTGACCTCTCCTGGCACCAAGAACCTTCCCTGTGCAATGGGTCATTGGTGGACTCCTGCATTGCCTCTAAAGCTCTACAAGCCTAAGGTGTTTGACGAGGTCTTCTCGGTCTTAGTTCTGTTTCTTGCTTTACGGTGGGTGTTCAGCATTCTTATTTGGTTACTACTGGGTAGAGTCGGAGTTGCTTTGTTGTAGGGGTGCGACGAAGCTCGACAATGATGACATGCTGCAATCCTTTTATAAGGTTGTTGATGCTAGCTGTGTGTAGGAAGTGGTTCCTTGGTTGTTTGGGCTGATGTCCTTCATGGGTATCGTTTATGCTTGTTCTTTTGCATTAGGGTAGCATCGCAGTGAAGTCGAAGCTGCTGTGTCGCTTGGGCGGCAACCTCGGCAACGAAAACATGTGTGGGTTGTTGTGTCACCACTATGACAAGCTTGGCCGATGCCTTGTGTCGGGTTCCGTCGTGGTAGTTTAGGTTAGGTTAGTTGTTAGCGTGGTATTGTAGTTGCGGTTTTCGTTAAGTTTTCCCTAATTAACTGGACACTGTAAGGTTTGGTCCCATGTGCTTCTTAAAATGGGACACCTTCTTCTTAATATAAAGCGTCGGCAAAGGCCTGACCGTTCGAAAAAGAAAATAAACACACCCTTTTGCTGTTAAAATATATAAACGTTTAAAATTGAGGAAAAGAATTGGGCAAGCATGCATGGTTTGTGCAATGTGCATAATGGTCGGGATTCGGGAAAGCCAAGGATCTGGAACATATCATCTGTAGCTAGCTGATTTATTGTTATCAGATATGTTTGGGAACTAATTAAGTGGTTTTTTACTTTTTTAACGCATGCAATATCGTGTTCACCATGTAGAATGTGACTATACTGGTAAATATCCCACTAGTCTGATACTTGCTATCTTCATTGTGTTGTCTGTGTCTAGTCCTGCGGGTGAATCTATCACACACGCATGCGTCATGCTTGATGGTTGATGCAGAAGACAATGCCCCAGTGTTTGTCATATAATCAGGTTTTATGGGCTTATTCATTGGATTTTGTTGGTTTTCAGGACTTTTGATTGCTTTCAACTGCAACGTCAAGTTCACTGAACAGATTTCAGATGCAATGTCAAGTTTGCTTTATATCAGTGTCAATCATTCAATGGATGAGAAGGGAAAACAGGAATAACAAGCACACTCAAGCTGAGCGAGATTATAAATTGCTTCACGTATATTTTCTTTCGTGTCATGATGGTTTGTATTGTAACTGAAAACTGGATGATAATGTATTTATTATGAAATATTTAATAATTTGTTTGCTTCCCAAATTTTTTACTTCGTTTGGGTTATGTCCGAGTATTTAAACCGACAAAGAGAAAATTGAATTAATTTGGGCAAACATTTTGTCAGTGTAGGGGCATGCTATGACAAATAATTGAGTGACAAATGTGTAGAAGAAGAAGGTGGTGGCATTAATTGTTGACAACCTCGATGCCATTGTTGGCCTGCAATCGACATCCGACCATCGAGTGGCAGACTTATGGGTGGATGGGCTTACAAACCCATTAAAATAACTTAAAATGCATGGGCCCAACTACCACACCACTGGACTGATGATCCATCAAGAGACGCACCAGAGAAAACATGGGTTGTTTGGGCCAGGCCAGGGTGTTGATGCTCCCCTTCCACGTGGACACTCCAGATGCTTCCCCAATGACGGTTGGAGGGTGTTTTAGACATTTTCAACTGCCAAAACTGTCATTGCGAGGCTATAAAAGAAGGAGGTCACACTCACTCCTTTACACACCAAGAAGAAGAAATCAAGAGCACTCTCTAGTTTAGTTACTTTGTTCGATCTAGTGCTAGTGAAGTAGAAATAGAATAGTTTCTTAGTTCTTGAAGTCTTCAGCAGATTTCGGGTATGGCTCTGGTAGCTCTTTCTTCTTTTGTAAGACTTATCTCATTAATGAAATATTATTCTTTATATAGTTTCGGCCCTTTACTTCATTTATATAATTATTTGAGTACCGACTTTAGTCATACTTGTCTCGATATAATTGTGTAGTTACCTTACCAGAGATATGCAATGGTGTGGGTTTAATGTTCATATTCATGATTGCTCTATGTCAGCTGCAGCGATGTGGAGTAGTATTAGTAATGTAAGCGCGTGATGCTTAGATTATGAGATATCATTAAAAGGTATTATATGTCATGGGTCCGTAGAGGTGGGCCGCTGATGGTGACAGCTCAATACTAGTATTCCTCCACGTACGTATATAATAATAATACAACTTCCTGGTGTGGGTACTCCTCCGTATTTATTACGGATTAGATTGTCATGATGGGTTGTCGTAAGGAACTCGACAACCAGGGGTGGTCTCTCGAAACACCAGGAGGGCATAGTTAGGGGGTGTTGGCTACTTGATTGTATACTATCAAGTGCAGACTAAATTGACTATAAACTAGAAGTACATAAATGATTATTTTCTTTTTCTAATTGATTATTTTCTTATTCTTTCTCTAATTAGCTTAGGTTATATTTTAACGAGAGTATTATGGTTATTTCTTCTATGTGTCAACTCATTCTACCCTTGAATTAGTTAACCCTTGCCTAGACTTTGATTTATACGAGTGATATATAAATTATTAGCATAGTACTCTCTTATCATCTTCCCTTGGGATTAAATAAATACGATACCTTGGAATAATTTCGGGTGTAATGCTACAACGGTATATCTGTGTGCTTGCGGATTATATCTGTGACCATAAAGTAAACCGAGAATATTTCGGCGCCATTGCTGGGAATTATATTTCTAGTAATGTCGTTAAGAAATGTCAACACTCCCTCTCTCCATGGTGGCCAGGCCACGCGATCCGACCGCCTAGAGGTCAGCTGTCACGCGATCTCGAAGGAGATGATTGCAGCGAAGTTCTTAATTTGTGATGGCTTGTTCTAGATCTATGGTGGTTCTTGTTATTCTTCATGTATCGATGCGTACAGATTATGACAGCTTCTTGTTATTCTTCTTATTTTTCTTCATGTATGGATGATGCTAAATTTCTTGCAATGTGGATGGGGAACAAGGGTAACCTGTGTTTCTTGCAATCATCGTTGTCATCAAACGCGAGGCATCCCCATGACCTTGTTTTTCTTGCAATTGTCCTTATCAGCACAATCGAATACAAAAACCAAGTCAGTACTACAAAACATCAAATAGGTGTCGTCACTATAGGTGTCGGAAGTGCTAAAACCTGCACCTATAAACCTTTTCCCCACCTTCGCAGGTTGAAATCGTAAAAAACTGACACCTTTAAACAATTATAGGTGCTGATTCTAAATAAGAACCGACACCTATTCTACGGGTGCCAGTTTTTTTTTTATAAAAACTGCCACCTTTCATATATTATAGGTGTCGGTTAATTAAAAACCGACCCCCTAATAAATCGAGCTGAGCCGAGCCGAGCCGACCCCGGCCACATCGATCTTATCCATTCATCTCCTCTCCTCTTGTCTCGTTATTCATTCCCTCCTCTCTCTCTCTCTCTCTCTCTCCCTCAACCAAATCGGCGTGCGGCGGTGGGAGGGGATGCTGCGGCGGCGGCGGGTCGGCGGCGTGAGGGGATGCTGCGGCAGCGGCAAGTCGGCGATTGGAGGGGATGCTGCGGCCCGGCGGCGACGCCCTCCCCTCCGCCAGATCTAGCGGTAGGGGAGGTGGCGTCGGCGGCGCGACGGCGGAAGGGGATGCAGCGTCGGCGGGTCGGCGGTGTGAGGGGAGGCGGCGGTGGTCCGACGGCCCGGCGGTGGGGCCCTCCCCTCAGCCAAATCTGGTGGGAGGGGAGATGGCAGCGGTGGAAGGGGATACGACGGCAGCGGGAGGGGAGGCAGTGGTGGTCCGACGGCCCAGCAGCGGCGACGGCGGTGCCGCGGCAACGGCGCCCTTCTCTCCATCCGACGGCGGCAGCGGCGGTGGAGACGTCAGTGGCGGCAGTGGCGATGGTGGTGAAGGCAATATGATAAGTGTTCTTGATGAATGTGTTTGAATATGACGTTGATGTGTTCTTGATGAATGTGATTTTTGAGGATTTGAGAAAATTTTGAGATTTGGGTATTAGATGGGATCGGCTTGACGGCTCAATGCATCGAGCCCTGTGCCAACCCTGTGCAGGTTGAGAAAACCGGCACCAAAGGGAGTTTCCCAACTGGCACCATTTACATCATGTGTAGTAGTGAGTCAATCAGAGAACTAAATGGTAGGAACACCCTGTAGCAATTAAAATACATTGCGGCGTTCGGCGTTCACGTCGACCTCAATGATTCCCCCTCCCTCACCTCTAAGATGGTCAGTACGGCTCCACTTCCTTGATCTGTTTGCTTCCTTCATCTATTCTGTTCTTTACTGAACCCATGTGTAACACTCCGCTTTTCGTGAGGCGTTAAAAACTAATTCGGCAAAATCCTATATGTGAAAATTTCGTTCTTTGTGTGAGAGTCTAAGTTGTGCCAAGATCTCAATTCAAATCTCCATTGTT